TGTACATACTGCCCAGAGTTGTCTTGCAAGTTAAGGCTTCCCTTTACTATAAGACTATAAATAATAAAAAAAAAAAATTATTTTATCCTTTCCCCGTAGTAGCCGCGTGTTCTTGGGGCGGGAGGGGAGGTGGCACCAGGGCAGCCCCTGGGTGGGGGCTGGGAACAGCCTGAGCTCTGTGTCACCTCCTGCCCCCCATAACCACAGTCGGTGGCTCCCCGCGCACAGGAGACGGCAGGTGACGGTTCTGTTTTATTAATGCCAAAAAGCTCTGCTGCGTCCCGTGTCCCCCCACCTCCCCGTCTCGGCTCTTGCCGGGAGGGCAATGGGGTGCCCGGACCTGGTGGCCACGGAGCACACCTGATTTTGGTATTGCTAGCACCCTGAGGACCTCGCTTTCTGCCCCGTCCGCACTGCGGGGGGCTCCCTGCTGGCCCCGGGCAGGGCTGCTCTGCACAGTGGGGTGGGGGGGGGCAGCGGGGCCCCTAATTGGCAGTGGCTGCCATCCCCAAGCTGGGCACAGGCTGCTGCAAGAAATGCATCACCGCCCTCGTCACTTTTTCTGGGCCAATGTTGTAGACAGGGTGTGTGGCCTGCTGCGAGACAGGAAGAAAAACAAAGAGGTTAACACCTTTTTTTCTGGTGTTGGGGAGGCCACATGGCTCAGCCCACCCCGACCCAGTGATACCTGGCACCTACCAGGCGGTTTTCGGGGGCACCCAGGACTGCCTCCTGGTGGAGTTCGCCACTGCCAAAGTGCTGGGCGATGGCCAGCCCACTCAGGCAGTAACACGTGTGGTAGAAATCCCGGGATCTGAGGTGGCGGGAAGATATTGGGGTGCTGAGTGTGGGGTTTTGGGATACCCGGCAGTTTCCGCCCCCCGACTCCCTGCTCCACTCACTTGCCCGGCTTGTCGAGCAGCCCCCCGGCCGGGCACTGGCAGCACAGGAGGATGTACTCCTGCAGCGCCGACTGGTTGAACATCCAGTGTGTCATGCTGAGCGCTGTGTCACCTAGAGGGGGAAAACCACTGAAATGCCGGGGGAGGGGGTGTCCCAAAAGGTGGTAAACACCCCCCACCCCCTCAACTCAGAGCCTTCCCTGTGCCCCCCTACAGGGAGCCTTGCTGCCAAAAATCCTGCAGGGAAGCACAATTCAGCAGCCCTCCCACACAAAACAACAGATTTGGACACCAGTTACTCGGTGCTTTGTCCCCATGCTGAAACACCTTTGTCCTGCCCCAGAGACGCTGGTTTTGTGGACAGAGGAAGCTGGGAGCTCCCCCAACACCCTGTCCCAACTCCCTGCAGCCAACTCACCCATGGCATAGAGGGCATGGTGGAGCAGGGGCAGGAGGCCGGCTTGCCAGAAGGAGTAGCAGCCATCCACCAGCTTGTTGCAGCGGCCCTGGAAGCCGCCCTCAAAGCACATCTGCCGTCTGGTCACCCAGTGCTGCGTGTGGATAAACAGAACAGACACCAGTGTGAGGACAGGGAGCCCCTTCCCCGGCACTGCCGACGGGCCAAAACACCCCCCACCCCCAGCCAAATCCCGGCAAGAGTCGAGGGGCCATGGTGCCACTCACCAGCAAGCTCCGGAGGTTCAGCAAATGTTCTTTCTTGAGGATGACCAAAGTCGCCATGCCACAGAAGGTGTAACCGCCGTGCGCTTCCATGCCCGGCACCCCGCCGATGCCCCCCTCCCAATTCTGGCACCTGGTGCGGCAAGTGGCAGGGTCAGGAGGCACCGAGGCGAGGGGTGCTATGTTTGTCTGTGTGCGCCCCCAAGTCCATCCCCACTGGCTCTCACCTCGCTATCCACTCAGCTGTCCCGGCGAAGAGCGCGGGCGTGAGGATGTTGGTCAGCGAGGCCACAGAGGCGGCGCAGTAGGCACTCCTGCGGTAAACAGGTGCTCAGAGCCATGGCACCAGCTCCCCGTCACAGCACCCGGTGTTTTTTCCCCACCCCCCAACTGCGGCGCTTGCCCACCTGACGTCCACCTCGCCGTCAGCATGCATGAGGAAGGAGCCATCAGGCTGCCTCAGCGAGTGCAGATACTCCAGCAGCTTCTCCCTGCAAAAGCCAGCAGGCTGTGAGGGACGCACACACACACACGACACGTCCTGCCTCCCCCCCGCCAGCCCCGTGCCAGCTAACCAGGCCTGCGTGGCCGTACCTGTTGATGACGCCGAACGCCTCCTCCGTGCCGATGATACAGAGCGCGCTGACGGCGGCATAAGTGGGGGCGAGGTGGGGGTGCTGGCCAGGTCCCCCCCCAAAGCCACCCTGGGGGCTCTGGCAGCGGCTCAGGAAGTCGCAGATGCTGTGGGGACACAGAGGGGAGGGTGGGGAAGGGGCTTGGCACTCCCCGGACTCAACCCCGGTGGTGTGAGGTTCCCGCCTTGGGTGAGGGAAAACCATGTCCCCACTCCACAGGAGGCTCGTGGTGGCCCCATTAAGCCCCCCCAGAGGTCAAAGCCGGGCGTTATCTCTCTCCTCCATCTCCATCTGTCACGAGACGTCGGAGCACGAGGCACTGGCTGAGAGAATAGGCAGCATTGATGGTGGTGGAGACAAAGCGCTCCTTTGCTCCTGCCAGCACGCGGGGACAGCGGGAGGTGGCACTTCCAGCATCACACGGGTGGCCCGCGGGGCCTCTTGGCCACAGCCAGGTCTGCGGTGGGGTTCCCCCCAGCTCTCACGGTGACAGTGCCACTTACTCAGAGGCAACAGAGTCGGGAATGGGCTGGTCCAGCAGCTCCAAGCTGTGCAGGATCCAGTAGCAGAGCCAGGGGCGGCTGGCATCCAGGCACTGTGGGGACCAGAGGGGACAGTCAGGGCAGCCGGGGAGCCATGTGGGGCCTGGGGGTGCAGGCAGAGCTCCCACAGGACAGGCAGGAAAACCCCCAGTGCTGCTGCTCAAGGCATCACCACCAGGACAAGCATGACCCAAGGGGACACTAAGAACCACTGCCTCTGTCCCGGGGCTGGCAGTGACAAATCAGGATGGCAAATAGCAAACGCTGCAGCGACAACTCGGGGAGCAGCCCCACGGCGCAGGGTTGGCCCCAGCCAGAGGGCAGAGCCGGCAGCTCTGGGGCAGAACACCCAGCAGCGCCGCTGGCAGAACAGGTACCTCGTAGGATACAGTCAGCTGCTGGAGGCCTCTCTTCAGGTAATTGAAGTGCTTCTCCCGCTGCAGGGTGAATCTGGAAGACAGGCAGAGCACCGGCAGGCAGGACAGCCCGGCTGAGAGGGGACACGAGCCCTGAGCCGATGCCACCAGGCTCAAGGCGTGCGGCCGAATCCCACCTGAACGCCCATGGGAGCGGCCAGTCCCTCACTGGGGATCTCAGCAGCCAGTGGAGTCACTGGTTTTGAGGGGCATTATTTATTTATTGAGAGTTTCTACCACAGGAACTTACTGTGAGGTGTGAGGGTTTGTCTTGCAGGCCTCAAAGACCTCCTGCACGATGTCTTCCACTCTGGTCTGCCACCAGCCACAGTGTGGAGAAGAGTGTGGCGAGGGCAGGGGAGAAATAAAGACATAAAGACCACAATGAGCTCTGGAAAGCGTCTCTGTCCTTCCCGAAACATGGGCCCGGTCTGGGGAGCCTCCTGCCCCATCTCAGGGGTTCATCTGGCTCATGGCCACTCCCTGTTACCGGTGGCACCGTCTCATCACCTTCTCTGGGAAAACCAAAGCAACCAAAAGCCGCCTGGTCCTGCCTGCCCATAGAGCGGCTTAGCGGGAGCTGCCAAGGAGCTTTGCACCCAGGATTAGACTCAATCGATTAGCACCGTCTAGTGTTGCTTTTCAAATGCAGCAGTTTTAAAAACAGAGTTCAGTTTGTCCCTGGATCCCCACATCAAACACCCTGGCCACCCTCCTCATGCTAACACTGGGGACTTGTGGCAATGTCCCCTCATTTTAGACTTGAGCTTAACATGCAGCACCCCAGCTGGTGCATCCCAACCTGGGGTAATCACTGAAGCCCTCCAAAAAATACCCCAGGCTTTGAGGGGGGTGAGGAGGGGGGGCACACAGGCAACCCCCTCCGCTGTGTTCCACCAGGTTAGAGGCGAGCAGGAACTCCACGGATTGAGAAACACCAGCGTCACCTTTCACCCCGCCAGGCCAGGGCTGGATCGGGCTCAGGCGGAGCAGGGAAGGGGGGTTCTGGCTGTACCCCAGGACCCCTCACCCTCCACCAAGCTGGGTTTTGGGGACACATGTCACAGCCCCCGGTGGTGACCCCCCGGGAGCTGCAGAGGCTGGGGGTAGAAGTCCCCCAAGCCCCTCAAAACCCCAGGGCACCCGAACTGCTTCAACAGGCGGGTGTGAGGAGGAACTGGGGTAAGGATCATGCAGCCCCATGGCACCGCAGAGCCACCTGGCCCCCTTAGAGCCAGCCCCACGGCACCCCAAAGCCTAGTCCCACGGCAACCTGGCACCCCACAGCCTAGCCCACTCACAGCCAGCCCCATGGCACCCTGACCCCCTCAGAGCCAGCCCCAGGGCAGCCTGACACCCCACGGCCAGCCCCAGGGCACCCCAGAGCCTAGCACCCCACTGCCTGGACCACTCACAGCCAGCCACATGGCACCCTGACCCCCCCAGAGCCAGCCCCAGGGCACCCCACAGCCCAGCCCCAGAGCCCGGCCGCCTCCCGC